TTCATTTTATTCACTGCCTATCATATTCTAATCACAGTCGCCTTAGTTAGGTCACTCGAAACAGCGTCCTGACTCCATTAAGGATGGTGCTTGGAAAATTTGACTTACTCATCTATTAAATCACATTTTATCCTTCTTTTGGGGGTTGCCCCAGGATTCAGTTTTCTCTGAGAACAGGATTGGCCCAGCTTCTCACTCAAATATGTCTTCCCTTGGAGCCTACTGTGGGCAAAGTGTCGCCTGGTCCCTGTTAGTTACCCTGCACTGGTGGTAGGCATGAACACAAGCTACTGCGGCCTTCTGCTTGCTGTAAATCTAAGGGCCGCTCAACTCAAGCCTCAAGGAGGCAGAGGATCAGGAGGTGACCAGTTGACTCTCTAATCCTGATGCTTTGTTTTTGGTTCTGCTTGTGAACCCTCGTGTCTGAATTTACAGCATGATTTGGGGGTGCCGAGTTCCACCGATCCCCATTACTGCCCCTGGCCTGAATTACTCTTGAATTCTGCTGCACTTGACTGGTAAGCTGTCAGTGGAGTTTGCTGCTCCCCTGAGGCCATTATGCAGCATCTTCTTCCAGGAGTTAGAACGTCAGGGAACTCATATCTCTTGCCACCCCCCCCCCCCCACCACCAATCCCCACCTCCACCTGCACCTCCACCCTCCCCTGCCCTGAAGTTCCTCTCAACATTCCTCTCAGACTGTCTGCCATTCTCTCCCGGCCCACCTCCCACATGCTGACCTGGTGCATTCAGGCTCCTTGAACAACTTCTGTAGAAGCTTAAAGGTGACATCCTTTGCATCTCTAGAGATTTTATATTCTTCAAAGCACTTCCAGCTGCATATTATCATTTGATCCTCACATAAAACTCTCTCAGGTATTTAGGTTAGGTATATTATCCGGATTTCACCGATGAGGAAACAGAGACAATGATGAGGAATTGCCTACCCTCAGGTACTTAGTTACTGTGGAACTGCTATTAGAACACAGTTTGGTTTTGGTTAGTGAGTTTGTTTATTCATTCATTAATTCACACACTCATACTGAGAGGCAGTAGAATGGAAAGAGCAAGGGTTTCGGCGACAAACTTTGGTTTGAAACCTGATGCCAAATTATTAGCTGTGTGATCTTGGTCGTGCACTTAGCCTCTCTCTCAGAAGATCAGTTTCCTGATTGGTAATATGGGGAAAACTATATCATGTTTATATGTGATTTAACAATCCACGAAAAATAGTGTCTGGCATATGGTAGGTTATAAGTAAAATGTTACTATAAATATATAATATATAAAATAGGTTACTAGCGTAGGTAAAAATGGCCAAACATTGACAATTTTATTATGGTAGAAACTCAGCGGCTACCATTTATTGAGTCCTTCCTTATTGTACGTATCCAAGGCACTGCTAGGCCCCAAGAATTGCAAATACAAGTGAGGCAAGGTTTTCTTGTGTGTCTGTGTCTTCTACTAGACTGTGGTCCTGGAGGGTAGAACCTGTCTGCGTTATATCCCTGACACCAAGAACAATGTCTGCTAGGGAGTGGGTGCTTAATAAAAGTGCTTAATAAAAGTGGGTGCTTTCTGAACTGAAAAGGTCCCTGCCCACCAGGAGATGACCAGCAGTGAAGATAGGCAGACACATAATCATATACTCTAATACACTGTTATGGATATCTAGATAGACACACACAGGCCATGACGAGAGCCGAAGGGAAACGGTGCTCCGTTCTACTGGGGTAGGGGGCACTGCAGTGCACAGGAGGGGGCACAGCTTCATAAAGCAGGTGCCGGAAGACCAACGTGGTCTGTTGGGTGGAAGGGAGCGCCACCAATTAGCTTATCTTGGACTACAAGCTTTCTCTCAAGTAACCCCTTCTAAGGTGTGAAATTGAGTTTGTATTCACAGCACTTCTTTGTCTCGCAGTCCCTCTGTTACTGGTATCTCCCATAATGTATTACTTCATAAAGTGCTTTGCTGTATCCTGAGTATAAAAAGAGACACTCAGTAAAACCAGAGTCTATTCTTCGAGTGTCACGACTAGCCATCGCATAACAGAGTATAATATATTGTGTAAGAAGAAATAGAGGAATGTAAGAGTTGTTTTTTTTTTTCCCGATACGTGGGCCTCTCACTGTTGTGGCCTCTCCTTTTGCGGAGCACAGGCTCCGGACGCGCAGGCTCAGCGGCCATGGCTCACGGGCCTAGCCGCTCCGCGGCATGTGGGATCTTCCCGGACCGGGGCACGAACCCGTGTCCCCTGCATCGACAGGCGGACTCTCAACCACTGTGCCACCAGGGAAGCCCTGTAAGAGATATTTTAAGAGACCAAATAAAACATCAGAGTGGGAGAGTGTAGACTGCGTTAAAGTCAATAAACAGTCATGGCAGAGTGGACCACTTTTCAATGTGAAGGAACCTGATTTAGTGACTGATGACTGTACGATTCGAATCCCATTGGAATGAAGTTAGCTGCTACTTTTGCCAAATTCTAAATCTTTTGGTTCTCCTTGAGAACCAGTCCTTGAAATTTAACAGATTATTTTTGTTACTGTTTTGCCAATAGCTCTTTGAAGTGCTAAAGCCATCCGTCTTCCTCAGTATTCAGTGCTGCTGGACTCGATATAGTGCTGCTGGCTTAGAGCTCTGGGAGGAGGAATTTGGGCTCTGGCTGCCCTGCTCAGCTGGGGACAGTTCATCACACGGGTTGCCAGGGCTGTGTAGTCATCCGGTCTCCACAGAGACTCAAAGCCGAGGCAGTTGTCAGGAATAAACTTGGTCAGATGTGAACCACTGAGCTGCTCGTCTTACTTGCAAGAGAGAGACAAGGACGGTGTTACAGGGCTCCTTCTTGGCAGTGTGGAAGGATGACTACAACAGCAAGGGTTCCAAAATGTTTTCTGCCAAGAACTGGATTGGATTTTTGCTTCCTCAGCCACAAAATGTCCCCAGCATCTTAGCCCCGAATCATTAATGCCCTTTGCAGTCAGTCTGCTCAACCTGGACACTTTCTTATCTTTCTTTGCTCAACACCCTCATCATTATTGTTTGCTTTTTGTTAGCTAAACTCTCAAGGCATTTTGATTCCTAATATCTTACCTTTTTTTTTTTTTTTTCCAGACAAGCAGGAGATATGAAGTAACATTATCATTCTTGATTACATTCTCTCCCTTTGGAGAAGAATGAAAATCCCTGGTTTTGGTTTGGGGTGCAGTTTATAGACTATTTCCTTGGAGTATAAAAATGCTATGTGTATTTTATTTTTTTTTAAATTTAATTTATTTAGTTTTGGCTGCATTGGGTCTTCGTTGCCGCATGCGGGCTTTCTCTCTTGTTGCAGCGAGCTGGGGCTACTCTTCGTTGCGGTGCGTGGGTTTCTCATTGGGGTGGCTTCTCTTATTGCGGAGCACGGGCTCTAGGTGTGCGAGCTTCAGTAGTTGTGGCACTCGAGCTCAGTAGTTGTGGTGTGTGGGCTCTAGGGCACGTGGGGCTTCAGTAGTTGTGGCGCACGGGCTTAGTTGCTCCGCGGCATGTGGGATCTTCCCAGACCAGGGCTGGAACCTGTGTCCTCTGCGTTGGCAGGTGGATTCTTAACCAGGGAAGTCCCCAAAACGCTATGTGTATTTTGTATTGGCATGTACCGGCATGCTGGTGTTGTAATATCATTGACCTTGGCAACATTATGTAACTGTTTTGAGCTTCGGTTTCTCCATTTGAGAAATGGGGATAAAATGACTAATTTATAGGGTTTCTAGGAGGACTAAAGAGATTGCAGAGGAGGAAATGCCTAGTACGGTACCTAACACATACCAGATGTACCATAAATGATTATTTAAAACAAATCAATACAATCTAAGCAGGACCAGTTCTATTTCAGTAAGGGGAGCTCTTGGAGAATGGTGAGACATGAAAAGAGAAATGACCAAGCTTTGTAGAGAGTTGTGTCCTCAGTCTGGTGCAGAGTGTAAGATTTAGGGGCACATGTGGAAGTAAAGAGGCAGGAGGAGTTTGTGGTAAAAGGTAAAAAGTGGTAAACTGCATGCAAACATGAAGTCAGTCATTTCAGAAAGGTCACTAGGTCAGTAATTTAATAGCATTTGTCCAAATCGCCATACTTTGATGCATAAACAAATGGGAATAAAACTATTCCTCGTAATAACTGATGATGTAAGAGGCAATGTGATGTAAGGCGGATTGGCCTGAAACCAGAAGATCTGGGCTCATGTTCATTTCACTTAATTGGCTTATGTTCTCGGACTTCTTAGCTTTTCTGAGTCTTCCCTTCAACATCCATAAAATGGTGATAATAATGTTTTTCTTATTTCCCCCCTGCTCGTTTATTGTAAGGATCGGAGATGTTTTTAAAAGTACTGCCCAAACAACATATGGGCTGTTTTTGATTTAGTATTAAGAGCCGGATGGGTTGCTGAAGAATTTTCAGGCTCTTGTCCACCTTTGAGGTGAATACAAAGTAAAGGCATCAAGAATGGGGGCTTATGTATCTGTAACTTCCTGTATCCAGCTCTTCCAGACCACGTTTTGTAGGTAACCTCTGCTGAGCCCATTTTGCTGCTCACTTTGCCTGGCCTTTGCCATCCCTTGGCCCCGAGAGCAGTTCAAGGATGGGTTGTGACAGGAGTACCGGGGATCTCACAGCAACAGCCGGACACGCTCTTGGAGACTCCTGTGTTCGTGCGCTTGGTGTGACTTGCCTGGACCACTTACCTCCTCTTTCCGTTGTTTGTCCCTGTCTGTTTGCTGCTGATGGCTATAGCAGTAGCATCTTTTAGTGTCTTGCTCAAAGATTTCTGATGCTTTCGGAAGTTTTTTTTCCTCACTCTGCTGTGCAAACACAAGAGATAAGAAACTAGGCTAGAAGATAGAAGCTGGGTTTGATGATCAGTAAAAGGAGATAAGTTCCTTGACTTGCAGTATCCAGCCTCTTCCCAGACAGTCATGTAGTGTGGGGTGTAACGTTACCATTCTCTCTTTGTGTTTCCAGGGAGTCGACGAGTTGAAGATGAAGCCCAGAGCAGAGTGCTGTTCCCCCAGGTTCTGGTTGGTGCTGGCTGTCCTGGCCGTGTCAGGCAGCAGAGCTCGGTCTCAGAAGAGCCCGCCCAGCATTGGCATTGCCGTCATCCTCGTGGGCACTTCAGACGAGGTGGCCATCAAGGATGCCCACGAGAAAGATGATTTCCACCATCTCTCTGTGGTGCCCCGTGTGGAGCTGGTAGCCATGAATGAGACGGACCCAAAGAGCATCATAACCCGCATCTGTGATCTCATGTCTGACCGGAAGATCCAGGGCGTGGTGTTTGCTGACGACACAGACCAGGAAGCCATCGCCCAGATCCTTGACTTCATTTCAGCCCAGACTCTCACCCCCATCCTGGGTATCCACGGGGGCTCCTCGATGATAATGGCAGACAAGGTAAAAGGGGGCCGTGGTGAGAAGAGCCTGGGGGGTATGTACTGAGAACTAAACGATGCATTTGTTTGAATGCCAAACTCGATTATGAAAGATGGAGTGTAACCAGAGGTAACCAGAATGCAGTGAGTGAATGGATAGACCAGGAGCTAGTCTAGTGCTTTGGAGTTGAAAGTGAGGGAAAGATGCTGGTGTCTAGAAGCTCCTTTTGTTTGGAACAGCTTTGTGTGTCCATTTGCTTGTAAATGGATTCACTGAAATGACTAAGAGATGTTGAAGGTTGTAGCTCGGTGATACATTTTCTTCAAATACGTGTATGAATACCTCCTTCAAAACTTTAGAAAAGGTGTGCTCTATTCTTCCTCGATAATACATGTTCTCCCCCCATACCAGTTTCAAGAATATAAAAAGCAAAATTCCCTGAGGCAGGTAATTGGTCTCCTTGAAGATTCAGATATCCTAGAGAAGTACTTCTTGCTAAGGTGTCCAGGCTCAACACGCATCCCATCTGCACATGTGAATGGATTTTAATCCATAGAACCAGTTGCAGCTGTGTTTTCCCCAGGCTTAGATTTGAAGGCAGTGGTTCTTAACCTTGACCGCACATTGGAATCACCTGAAGAGCTTTCAGCACGACCAATGCCTGGGTCCCACCCCTAGAGGTTCTGGAGCACAGCCTAGGCTTGAGGATTTTTAAAAGCTCAGCAGGTGATTCTCGTGTGCAATTAAGGCTGAGAACCACTGCTTTGAGGCCGCAAATCAATCATAGTCTCTCCTACACTAATATTAGATTGTCACACGACAAAGTAATTATCGTGTGACATCGATGCTTATTCTCTGACTACAGGAAAAAGTGTTTTGTTTGTAGTTATGTTTTGTTTTTACATTTTTCACTTATTTTTCCTTGCTTTGTACAATGAAAGTACAGTCCTTTTCACATACATATCGTCTTTGCAGTCATTCATACCTTAGAATGGTCCATTTCACAAATGCAGTATTTGTTGTGCATCACTTTGGGTTTCTTAAATTGTTTCTACTTTTGCATTGTCATCTTATACTTCTTAGTGTCACTTTCAAAACCTCCTTCAGTGTTGTACTGAAAAGACGTGCTGTGGGCTTCACGATGTTCGCAAACACCTCAAAACCTAGCACAGACGCCGCAAGCGTGCTACTTGGCCAGTTGAGAACCACCAGGCCACAGGGCTTAACAGAGTAAAGTAAGCTTGCGTGATCACTATCGCCATCTGTCGGCAGCAGGCAGAGATGTCTGTTTCGGAGCTTCCTTTGTTCAGTCTATAGAAGTCAAGTGGAGAGTACTGAGTGCAGGGACTTCATGCTTTCGGTAGCGTATGAGAAGGCTGTTGTCGCATTCGCATGCATGGGTAAAGGCACAGGTAAGGATGTTAGAAAAAATGCTGCCCCGAGGAGCCCATGCTAAGGGAAGTGGGATAAACTTGAATAGAATGGAAAATACAGGTGGACTTGGCAAAACCTACCGAGTGTTTGCTTCAGGTAGATTTTTTAAACATCGTTGCCCTTAGCAAAGGATATTATACTTTCGCAGTGGTATTTTGAGGGCACAGTTTGCATGGAAAGAATGCCAAGATGGAGGAGCCCAGTTTTTGAATCATGAATAAGTGCAAACTTACTTTGAGAGCAAGTCCGGTGAAAATAATTGATTGATTGATTGATTTAGCGTCTGTGGACTCGTGCACAGCCTGTTATTTCAGGCTCCCCCCTCCCCCCATCCCAGTGTAAAAGGTTGTTGGCTAAACTGGTTGGTTGCTTCCCTGCTGTGTCTCTTACAAATGCATAATAACAACATAAGAATATGAAGAATGACGCAGGCCACGTGGAGAGACTGGGCTCTTTTGTTCAGCGATGTATCCTAGGTGCTTCAGAGTGTTTACCGTGTGCTGGGAACATAGTGCTTTGCCTGCACTGTCTTAGTTAATACGCTTAACAGCCCAGTGAGCTAAGTGGTATTACTTATCTCCATTTAGCAGATGGGGAAAGCTGAGGCTCAGAAAGGTTAAATAACATCCCCAATTATGCTGCTAGGAAGTGGAGTCCAGGACTGGTTGCTGGCTCCACAGACCATGTGCTTGACTGCCTCTCAAGAAAATGGAGAGGCGGGTTGAGGTCTCTCATACCTTCCTCTTCTTTGCTTTCTCCTCTGTTACGTAGCACTGTGGTGAACGTTATCTGCCTAAAAGTGACGCATCACTTGGTTCATTATGGCAATACCGGAATCTGACTAGAGGAGAGGATTAATGAGCTATGAAATGGTGGAGGCTTAGGTGTAGCCTAATTCTATAGGGGCCCCCTTGGCTACCAGTTCCAGAGGTCAAATGGAGGATGGAAGCCAGTAAGGGGGATTTTTCCGGGTCATTGTAACGAGATCCCCCTCTGGTCTCCTCCCCCTCCCCCCACTGCAACCACACCCCAATATCCCATCTTATCTTTTTCTCTCTCCATCAAAAAAAGGAGGTAGGCAATGATCGTTAGGCACTTTGCTAAAATGGCCTAAATAATATCTAACTGACTTTGGACCTGAAAAGAAGAGTTACTGAAAGGTAGGTAGAAAGAGGAGAAAGAAGGAAGAAGCAAGCAGGAGGTCCTGGTGCCACAGAAGCGGGAGGGTTGAAGGCTCAGTCACGGAGTGGGAGGCCTGGATGGGTGGGGGGCGGCTGCAGGGGATGGGTGGGGCAGCGGGAGGAACTGCCCCCCGGACCTCCGGGATCCAGAGGGCAGCAACACTGAGATGCTGGGCAGCTGTGCAGAGGGACGTGCGCAGGCCTAAAGGACCAGCCGGAAGGCAAATAAAAAGTCCCCCAGAAATCAGAGAAATAAGCTTTGGGGGCAAGTTTCAAAAATAAAACACCTCAAATTCTAAGGCCAGCTTTTTTATTTTTTGATAGAAGTTATTTTTAGTACCATGACTGTATCTTACCAATATAGAATGGGGACACAGAGTTTGACAACTCTGAATCCACTACGGGCAATAGGACAACACGTTTGAAAGTGGAACTAATGCAGAAAATGTAAGAAATACAGCTTTGCTGTGTTTAAGGCATAGTCTTGAAGGTACAGTCGCCACCTGAAGGATGGTGAATAAGCCTTCCATTTTGCTTCCTCCTTCTACGAGATAGGTAATTGCCACTCTGTTTTGACTCAGTTGTTTTTTGTGTGTTTGTTTCAAATAAAACTTATTAAGTGTCCTTGTGGAAGATTGGTTTACAGGGAGGAAATTCCTGATTCAAGGAGTTCGTGATGGAAGAAAGGTAGCACAGTTAGTTACAGAGACTTTTTGGCAAAAGTAGGGAGATATAGTTCAGCATCTGATCAAATAGATTACGCTCACTTTTTTGCTAATGCTAATTAATGTGCTAATTGATCAGTACAAACATTAATTAGTCTCCACTTTCCCATTGAGGAAATGCACCTCGTACCATGGCAGAAAGAAGCACGGGAGCTGATAGAGCAGAGCTGTTCTAAGCTCAGAATTCGGACTCAGAGCAGTTTTAACCGTCATTTCTTAGATGTGGGGATCTGGACAACTTACCAAACCACTTACGCTAAACCTTGGTTTTCTCGTCTGTACCATGGGGATAATCATATATCCATTATAGGGTTGTTGAAGATTAAATGAGGTAATACAGAGCAGCTGCTTTACTAAGTGTCCAGCACAGCATTCAGCAGGCTAAGCTGAAGGTTGTATGGAGCAGTCTAAAGGAAAGAAGACTTCATGATACAGGAGAAGCACGGAAAGGAAATAGGGTCACAGCCAAATAGAGAGGCGCTTCACAGCTGGAGACCAACCGAGAAGGGAGCTCAGGTGAAAACCGGGGGAAGGGCTCTGAACTGTGTTGGGAGCTTTGCTCTTGTCCCACCAGGGAGGCCCAGGCTCATTGGTGGCGTAGCCGCTCCAGGGCCAAAAAGGGGCACATTCAGTTAAGGAAGAACTCTAATAAGGAAAGAACTGCTCGCGCTTGTTGCAGAAGACCGTTTAGAACAGTACCGGGGCCCATTTAAAAATGCATGAGGTGGGCTTCCCTGGTGGCGCAGTGGTTGAGAGTCCGCCTGCTGGTGCAGGGGACACAGGTTCATGCCCCGGTCCGGGAAGATCCCACAGGCCGCGGAGCGGCTGGGCCCGTGAGCCATGGCCGCTGAGCCTGCGCATCCGGAGCCTGTGCTCCGCAACGGGAGAGGCCGCAACAGTGAGAGGCCCGCGTACCGCAAAAAAAAAAAAAAATGTATGAGGTGATTTTTGGCAGCTCCCTGCCGAGTATGAAGAGTCCACTTTATTTTGCCTTTTGTTATAATTGCTTTTGCTCTCCCTGAGATCCTGGATAGGATGCCCGTCAGAATCCACATGATGAACTAAAGGGAGACATACTTTCATTCCTTTGCAGGAGATTTCTCTGCTGATTTGCTGAAACCTTTCTTGGGTTTTCAGATTTTAGCTCAGAGAGGTTAAGTAACTAATCCAGGATATTACAGCTTACAAGCGGTGGAACTGGGATTCAGATCCCAGAAGTACCTGTTTTGAAGCCTGTGCTTTCTACTTATGCAGTTCTGCCCCACAAAGCACTGCTCTAAGAATTGTCCTGTGTTTCAGTCTCCATTCTCAGGAGCTTTGGAAATTTAGGCAAACAGATCACTGCAGCGACATGATACTCGGTTTCTAGTTTATAAGTGTTAAATTTTGTTTTCTGCCCTACCCACCTGACAACATTTTGAAGATAAAGTAAAATCGTTGGAAAAATGCTGGGCGAACAGATACTTTAGGTGAGCCAATTAAAAAGTGGGGACAGGGAATGACAGTCACTGAAAACGATTTTGTCACTAGCATTAGGGCCAGTGAAAATGGCTTGGGCAGGAGGTAGGAAGGAATACAGAGAGTGGAAGTTACAGTAGGATCAGGCAAAAGGGTGGAAGACCCAAGCTTTAATGCTGCAGAAATGGAAGAGAGAAGGTGTGCTGAGCAAAGGGTCAGGTCT